TGGCTGTAGTCAGGAAGGTCTATACAATGGTCTCCCAGCCTTACTGCCCACAGACACTTTAGCTCCTAGGATGTTTTATAACACAGCAGGCCATTAATTAGAAGATATCCCAATATTGTTCAGAGTCAAGAAGGAGATCCTCCTTGATTTCCTGCAGAGCAGGGGTGGGGAAACTGTGGTCCTTCAGGTGTTGTGGGATGCCACCTCCTGGTCACCCCCAAAGAGCATGGCCAGTGGTCTGTGGTGTTGGCAGCTGGAGTCCAAAGACAGCTGAGGGGTCATGGTCCCCCAGCTCTGCTGTATGGCATATAATATATGTTAGCTTTGTAGTAATTTCCTCCCCTCAGGAAACTGTAGCACTCTTAGAGGGGCAAGGAACCTTTAACAGAGAATTCTCAGCTTTATCAGCTTCAGTTTCCAGGAGTCTTTGTGGAGGGGGAATTGTGGCTCAGTGGATGTACCATAATTACTTAACTTCCTTGTACTGCCCTGGTAGATAAGTGGTTAAGATTGGAGTGTTTACTGCTGCAACCAGCAAGACATTCTACCGTCTTTGTAGAGTTACTGCCTGACTTGTGGACACACATATCTGTGCAAATACTTATGATTAAGATATTTGGTCTGTAAATTAATTGCAACAGCATCTGACTGCAGACTCTGTCCTGTGCACTTGTAGGGTAGTTTCTCTCTTCAGCAGAAAGGTTCAACTACACCCAGATGTGTTAATGACAAAGAATGCCCAGTATGGGGGTACACTGAAGGAGTGGTGCCAGATGACTTCTGAGCCAGCGAGGTTCATAAAAAGAACACTAAAATTAGTAATTAGCTACCAGAAGTAAATTTCAAGGCCACAGAGGAGCCAGTAAAAAGAATGTGGGAAGGAGCTGGTGGGGAGAGAATCTGGTCAGGATCTAGCAAAAGTCAGGCATTTTTAAAGTCACAGTGATTTTACTGTGAGAGATTTCAGCAAATGCTTTATGATGCAATCTAAGTCTACTCAGAGGTGAGTCCCATTGAAGTCAATGGTGCTTACTTCTAAGTAAGTGGGGTTAGGATTGTGCCTTTAGTGACTCCAATGGGACTAAAAAGTGCTTAGCTTTGGGCTGGATCATGACTTTTATCTTCTGCATGACTATAGATCCTTATAAAACACAGTGTTTTCTCTGATATAACGAGAAATACAGTTGGCAAATGTGTATACTAATATTTATTTTGATTATGTAGAATGTATCAAAACACACCAAGCATCTTAATATTTTATATTTAAGCCTTTGCTAGAGGTATTTTTGCATTTTAGACCCATCACTTCTCTTTTTTTAACCCCAACACTCTTTCATTTATGTGAGCAAAGCCAGGTTCCTGAATTCCAAGCCAAATTTATTAGCAGTCTTTTAAAAAAGATGTCCAGCTAAAGTATATTTCCACTTTTCATTACTTGTGTTTTGAGTACAATATCAGAATAAGAAGATCAACATTTAAGATGGTGCAGGGAGCTTTCAGTTACAATAGGATACAGAGAATGCAGCATTGTTTTTAAAATGTTTTGGGCAGGATCAGTCCCCTCAACCCCCACCCCAGTTATACGAACGCCTGTCTTTTTCCAAGCCTTGTACAGCAATTTTTGACAAAAATATTGTTTGTTTTAAATCAGTTCTGGCTAGCCAGGATCGAAAAAGTGGTTGGAACAAGGTGATGGGAGCTTCCCTTTTCTCTCCTTGGGCGTAAGGAGGCCTAGGTGGAGGCAGCACACGCAAGGAAGGAATTTTAAAATGGCACCCTTGATTCTCCTGCAAAAAAATAGGGGGGTGGGGGATAATGGCAGGGCTGGTGGCAAGGAAAAGAACTTGGCAGGAGAGGCTGGTCTGGCAGCTTAGTAAATAGAGGAAACCCCTCTCCTAAAAATCCACTGAGGGTTTTGCTGGCATCCTGATTTAGTGGTAGCAATGAACCTCCCTCTGGACAGCAGGGGCTGCTCTTACTAGCCAGGGTCAAAGACTGGCTTGCCTCTGGCGTGTGGAAGAGTGGTGTTGTTGGAAGATGAAAATTTAAAATAAGGAATTAAATGAAACACCACAAATAACATCAAACACAAACCAGTGGTCAACAATAAGGTTAGCCATGCCCAAAGGCTGATCTGTGGAAAACGGAATAGTTAAGATTAAAACAATAACTGTTTCTCCTCCGGCTTTGTACTTCTCAGAGGATGTCGCTGAGTGATAGGTCACTTCTGCGTAAGTCTTCCATTTCTGTAATGAGCGAAATAAACATTATTTGTGTTCTAAATCACAGATTTTCCTGAAAATGCTGTGTCCTAGTACTGGGATAGAAATATTTCATTCCCTTGAAAGATTTACAGTCATATTCATTCTGTCTCTCCTCTCTGTGTATATATGTCCAGGATGTTCTGAAGCACATGTCTGTTAACGAATGCTGTAGGTCTGAAGCAAGTTTAGAGAGGTGGATTGTGAAGGAAAGCTGGCTTACTAGAGTTGACAGCAGCAGACCTGTTCTGTTTTATTTACGTACCCTAATACGAAATGAACACACAGACACGCATCTGCGCGCTTGCTTTGTATTAGACGTTGAAAAGACTCTGTTAAGTTTTGTGCTGCTACATATTGTTTAAGAGTTGGGTTTTGATTTAATACTGACAAGGCACGACGGGAGGGGGAGGAAAAGAGTGAGCGTTTAAAGAGAAAAAGACCTTTTTAAGATTCTGGTAAAAAGAGTCAAGCCTAAATGAGCCATAGGCATGAGATTGCTGACGGCTTTATTGAGTCACTGTTGCACGCCCACCTTTTCCTGTCTTGAAACAGTTTGCAGTTTTGACTATCTGAAATGATTAACAGTTGCATATCTAAGTGATTAGAGCAGTGACTCTGCAGAACAGACAGAGACCACAGTCTTGCCTGACTGGAGGTGCATTCAGATCCTGTCCCCATTTCTTTCTCCCTTTCTGTATAGTTTTGTCTTTTTAACAGTTGCAAGGTTGCACTGCATTGCATGCTACCTTGCAGTTGTGAAATAGATCACATTTTATACATGCAAAGCAACTTCACACTGGATAGGTATTTAGGAAAGAAAGAAAGAAAGAAAGAAAGAAAGAAAGAAAGAAAGAAAGAAAGAAAGAAGAGTTCTATAGATTGTTCCAGTAATGATGATATCATATTATGACTACAGGCATATTAAAAGCAGGAGACACTAGCTCCCTGTTTGATGGCTCCCGGGAGAGATATTTATTCTTTTCACATATTGTAATGGACAAATTAAATAATGAAGCAATGTGATGTAAAATAACATAAAATTCATTTCAGCTGCACAGTGCAGTGAACAGTAATTCAACTCAAGAGTTTTACACTGGTGTAAATGCTTGCGTGGAACTTGGCATTCTGCTCAGAGTAAGTTATTGCAGTTCAATCAGCGCTGGCCATGACCTTCTACACTGAATCACATGCCTTGTTCCCCGTTCAGAAAGACGTAAGGCAGGACTTGTGGGAATAAATATGGTAATGTTTAGTGTTCCTCAGCCCCTCTGCATAAGAACCCCAAGCAATGCTTCGTCCTCTTAAAGGCAGAGCCACTGGTGAAAAGAGAGCCTTGGCTGCCCAACGCTTGAGCAGCTTCCTTGCCTGCAGCCCCCCTCCTGGCTGCTTGCTCCATCCCCACACTTGGATTGAATTATAAAAATGAGGAGGGGCTGCCTTTGGTGTTCCTGGAGTCTGTCAACTACCTTCCATACTGAGGAAAAAGCTCTTTCTTGCCTTGTGGTTTGCAATTTTAGTGCCATGATCAGGCAGCACCAAACATCATATGGCACCTTTCTGCTTCATTAGGAGACATCTCTTTTCTATTTCTTTCCCACTGGGATTTCCCCCATGGAGCTCCTCTTCCTGGTCTTGTTCAGGCTGGGACAAACCTTTTCTCTATTGCTAGCTTCTTGGGGCAGGGGCCCGCTAGTTGCTAATGTTATTTTGCAGAACAGCGTGGAACGCACCTTGTATATCATGCTCTATGTAAAAGAAATGATGTTTGCCCCATTTCTGAAGCGTTCCTGTTTATATTCCTGGCTTATCTTTGTCAGAGGCCCTGTTACGTGAGCAAAAACATTCCTGGGAAACACCCAGAGGACTCTAGTTTCAGCAGTCCTCTCCTCTGGGAGTATGAGGGCTAGCATGTCCTCCAAAATTCCTTGGATGAAAATAGGGACGTCCTAAGGAAAAGCGGGACAGCTTCTGTAAATCTGGGACTGTCCCTGGAAAATAGGGACACTTGGAGGGTCTGGGGTAGTGCTCGCCTACCTTGGGTACCATAGTTGGCAGAGCCGCTGCTGGACTGGTAGGTGACTTCTTAGACTCATCCCAGGCGTGTGTCTCAGAGGAGACCCAAACCTGCCTTTCTCTGCTCAGCTCCTCTTATGCTAGTTGTGTATTATGTTGCTGAATGCTGCTGTCTGGACATTACTGCCTGAAAGCAGTAATGGGCATAAAGCCTGCTGATTGACATTCACTGCAAAAAAGAAGAAGAAGCCTGTAATAATTTCTCCACTATTATTTCACCATCTGATATTTCAATTAAAAAAAATGAGTTCCAAACGTTAGAGTGAAACCACAGCAGCATAATGTTTCCTTGTTCCAGTGGGGCTTCGTGTTTGATGATAATTGGGTTCAGTAGCAGCCAGCTTGACGGGACAGAGGCACCTACTTGACCTCCTGGCAAGAGCATCACTGCTGCTTAGGGGGAGGCAGAGGGGCAAGGTGGTGCAGCTGCATGAAAAGGAGTGCACGACTGGCTTCGCTGGTGCTTTCCCACTGCCTCAGCTTCAGTACTCCTAGCACCGCTGTGGGACCCACCTGCCAGAAGGCCAGGTAAGTGGCTCAATCCCACCAGGCCATCTTCTGCTGATTGGGATTCTGAGTGCTGTAGATGGTTTCTCAAGCAACCATATTTTGATACTCATTCTTTTCCTTTCCCCTTCCCCTTGTTTTCACTGTTCCTTACAGGGAAGAGTTTTACCTTGACAATAACAGTCCTTACAAATCCCCCCCAAGTGGCTACGTACCACAGAGCTATCAAGGTGACAGTGGATGGACCCAGAGAACCAAGGAGTAAGTACACTGTTCTCTGCTTGTGATCTGGAGTCTGGTGCTCTTCATTTGTGGAAGTAAATGGCTGCCATCACCTTCAGTGTATGATACTATTTCTTCATCTCCTATTCCAAGCCCGGTTCTCTCTCTTGTGGAGACCTCGCTGTGATTTAGGCGAATTGTTCCAAGTTTAGAGCACAGGTGGCCATTCCATGGGACTTCAGAGGACTTCATTGGAAGCTGATGATGCTCAGACTGAATTCTCGCATCATCCAAGCAATGTGTTTTCCTCCTGGAATTCAGGCTGTGTCTTCACTAGTTTGCTGTTTGGGTGAAGTGACATCCACATGGTTCTGGCCAATTTTATCCATGCCCACTTTCCCTTTGCTAGTGGTTTTCCTAACTTGGTTAAAATTTGCCCATACTGTGTGGACACTGCTTTGCAAAATGCTGAGGGGTGTGCGTGTGTCAACTAGGTTCCCATAGTCTGTTGTAAGGCAAGTGAAGAGGGTATTCAATAAACAGTCCAATATTTTGAGAACCCAAGACTGCAGTCGCCTGGGCCCTTTTGTGATAATGTCCCTGTGGCCTAGAACAGGGGTAGGCAACCTAAGGCCCGGGGGCCGGATGCGGCTCAATCGCCTTCTCTATCCGGCCCGCGGACAGTCCGGGAATCAGCATGTTTTTACATGAGTAGAATGTGTCCTTTTATTTAAAATGCATCTCTGGGTTATTTGTGGGGCATAGGAATTCGGTCACACACCCCCAATATAGTCCGGCCCCCCACATGATCTGAGGGATGGTGGACCGGCCCCCGGCTGAAAAAGGTTGCTGACCCCTGGCCTAGAAGGACTGGCACTGAAGGTCAGGCAGATCTCACCCCCTGCTTAATTCAGTGAGACCAGGAAGCAAGGGTTTTTACTTTGCATCTCATTAATGAGGTGTGAATTGTTCGAGATTAAGTCTTTATAGGGTTGTGTTAATGTAATTGTAATTACTTAGTTGCACCTTCAGATGCCATTTTCCAGAATCTGAGCAAATATGCTCACTGTTTTGTAAAGGAAAAAGCATTCAGATATGTGGAACATGGCACAAACATCGTTGTATGCTTCTGAATACATTTTCCCCTATTACAGGCAATTATTTTTACTCTTCTACTACTTAATTATGTCATGTATAATTAGATTTTCTTAGTACAGAATCCAGCTTTAACAATGGAATCATGATAGAGCCCTTGGGAATAAAGAACATGGCAATATACTGTAATAGGACTGAACTAGCAACCTTTAATTGATGCTTAGGAATTGTCTGCACTCAGATGATCTTTCCTGGCTTTATACAGCTGAGGTTTATGACACCAAGAATGAGTGTTGGGAACCAAGTACTCCTAATTTGCTCCCCACCACAACTGCCCGCTGTCATGAGTGGACTTTGTCAGAGTGTATTAAGCCAGAGTCTCCCATTACATCTGAATTTGGGAATGATAGCTTAATCCCAGCTGAAGAAAGAAAACAATGAGGTGGACTGCTATGTGTAAAATGAAGGAGTCATTTGTGATGTGAGCAGCCCTGGTTCAGCTGCCAAAGAATGAGACAGTGGGAATGAGGAACAGGATCCTTCAGGCATCCAGGTGAATCTCCGTTAACTAACCAGAATGAGAAGCCAGGCTTATTATTCTGGTTGCTAACTGTCATTAAGGCAGACTTCCTTGGTTCAGATAAAATTAGGAGCTCTGGTTTAACATAACCTGGGACTGAAGTTCCAAGCCAATGCAGAAAGGGAAAGGGGGACTGCCGTGGAGCGGGGCAAGGCAAGGATGTTTGGCCCTAATATTTGTCCCGGACTGGAATTATGGAAGGATACTAACAGTTAACCGTATTAAGAAATTAATGATTATTTGAAGACTAATCACATTAATATCAGATAAATGCTTCTGATGGAAGCATCTTAGTCATTTATTTGCATTTGATGAGTAATTGCTGATGAAACCTTGACAGGAGTGCAAAGTCAGTTGTTTCAGTGTTACACCAACTGCCGCCTTCTTCATGTTTCCCTCTGATTAACAATGGAGAAATATTGGGGGTCTCTTCTGTTCTTGAACTATATGGAATTTGCCTGCGCATGTTGAAGACTGTTTTCACCTTGTATCAGAGAAGCTTCCTGTCTTTTTCATTCATCTTTGCTAAATTTGCTGTTCTTGAAAAAGGCCCTTTTCTCATTTGCAACTGCTAGCACTTAGTGAGTTTGAAAGCATTTTGTCCTTTGTGAAACACTGACAAGTTTCTACATCTGGATTTAATTTGGTTCTTCCCATTTGGAAGTCTGCAACACTGTGCTGATATACCTTTGAAACAGGAAATTTCCAAACAGGCAGACAATATTTAAGCGCAGCAAAAGGAACAGATTTGTGCCTAAATTTGCCCATCAGCACAACATATGAATGCTTAGCAAGCAGCAAACATTTCAGTAGCAAGTACATTCATGTATGAAATTTTGCTAGTGCACCTAGGTCCCATTATCCAAGCACTTGTAGGAAAATTCACTTATCCAAACACAAGGAGTTAGTACCCAAGTCTCGCTATACACACCACAGATTCAGATATCCAAACAGCTGGATCTGTGTGTAAACAAATAAGCAGGCTTAAACATACCTTACTTTTTGTGTTCTATTGGTTTGAGGTTGCCAGAAACCAGGGGGTGGGAAGGAGGTGAGATAAGACAATTAAGATAACATTTTCCCTTCCTTGTTAGCCTTTTGCAGGGTTTCAGAGGGTTTCCCTGGGTTTCGCTTTTGTCTGCCATTTGGAGGCCAGAATTCTGTGGTCGAGAACACGATAGAAATATTCTCATAGGAATCAATGGAAATAGTTTAATTAATATGCAAACGCTTAACAAACGATTTTCAGGATTAGAATGAAAATAAAACATGGCTGCCATATGGGAGCATGGGGACACACAAAGAGAATACAGTCATGGTGAAGCTTTTGCCATAACTGTATTACTGCACGTGAATACAGGCTCTGGCAGACTGAGCAGATGAGGCCAATAAAGCAGTTTCTGCACATGCCGTAGACGGAAGTGAGGGGCAAATGGGGGTTGCTAGTCAGGGAATGTAACCCATGCAGGAGAAGGGGAACTCTGGTCCTAAACCTCTGCTGCCTTGCAGGATGCCTTGGGGAGAAGAAGAGGCTAAGGAGTAAACCCTTCACAAATCTGCAGTACAGTCCCTAAGGCAGTTGCATGGTGCCTTGTACACCTCTTTCCAGCAACTCCGGCAGTCAAGCTTTATGGAAGACAGCTTCCTGTTTATGGTATTATTTGCTCTGAGTGATGGCTGCTCTCAAAATGTTCCCCTGTGATGTGGTGGTGATTCTGCAGAACTGTTTTCCTCAGACAGCAGGGCTGCCTTATCAATGAGAAGGGGAAGCAGTCCTGGGCATTAACGGATCTTCCTTTCCCATGACAACATATAGCAGACATTAGCATGGTACTAGAATCATAGAATCATAGAGTTGGAAGAGACCACAAGGGCCATCGAGTCCAACCCCCTGCCAAGCAGGAAACACCATCAGAGCACTCCTGACATATGGTTGTCAACCTTCTCTACTATTGAGAAGCGCTTTATTGTGTTGTTTCGTTTTAAGCTGTGGGAATGCTTGTGGCAAAGAACAATTACTTTAAACTATAAATAAATAAAATGAATGGAAGATGTGGACAAAATCAACACTAAATGGAAGGGCCTAACCTGTAGCCCTCCAGATGTTGATGAGCTACACCTCCCATAATCCCTGACCCAAATTGGGCCATGGTGGCTGTGGCTGATGAGAACTGAGGTTCTTCTTGTTAAGAAGATAAAAAGCTGGTTTAAACATAGCTAAATGGCAAAGGCAGTGGGAGATGGGTTCTGTAGGTAGGAGGGGGTTTCCCTTTTGTCATGGGTGTAGCCAGGATTTTGTCGAGGGGCCGGAGAAGGCAGAACTTCAGATTTGTATTGATTTGTACTGATTTGGGGGCCCATGCCTTTTGCCCATCATTTTTGGATTTTTAAGCTGAAAAAGAGGCAGGGCAGGTTAGTAAGTTCAGCGCTTTGATGGGGCATTGCAATTTTTGGAGTGGCTTGTGCAGGGCTGGGAGGATTGACACTGAATGTTGTGAAGTTTCTGGGGCGGAGGAAATGGTTGAACATGTTCTGTGGGCTTGTTTAGGGTATACAGGCACTTCATTGCACATGGGTTCGAGTCCCACATTGGGCAACAGTTCCCTGCATTGCAGGGGGTTGGACCAGACGATCCTTGTGGTCCCTTCCTATGGCACAATTCCATGAGTCAATGATTTGTCTGTGGGGCCTGCCCTCCAGGATAACACTCTCTGGGGTTCAGTGTTGGAGAGTTTATGACAGTTTGTGAAGACTACTGGGCTCTATGAATTGTTGTGAGTGAAATGGGATTGTACTGTTGCTAGTAGGTGGTGGTAAGCGAGCCTTTCCTTGGTCTTGATCCAAGTCCAGAATAAGGGGTGGCGCTAGCACATTTGTCAAGTTAAGCAGTGTCTAGTTTGGTTTCAAATTGGATGGGGGACCGTGTGTTGAGGCACTTGCATTGCAGGGGGTTGGACAAGATGGCCCTTGGGGTCCCTTCGCACTCTGCAATTCTATGGTTTTATGGTTCTACATGTGGGTATCCCGACTAGTATTAGCTGCTTTAGGATGGGGCCAAAAATGCTTGAAGTAAGTCCCAATGAGTGTAAAGGAATCACTCCAAGGTAAACGTGCAGCCTTAGAATACAATATGGGAACAGGGCTATGACTACTTAGCTCAGTGAATTGTCAATATTGTTTTGTTTATGTTATGATTAAACCAACTAAGGACATTCTTTAATTTGATTAACTTACTGTCAGGGAACTACCATCGGCTCAGAGGTGAGAAGTGGAAGGGCAGCTGGGTTACAGGGAGCCTCCAAAGATCGTGGGAAGCAGCACTTCCTCAGTGGAGGAAGGAAGCCCCGCCTCTAGTGGGGAAGAG